CGTAACAAAAATTTTTCTCGGAAATATATTTTGGTATGAAAAATACGATACAGAAAGCCAGGTCCTATGGAATGGTAGTGCTCCCTCCTAACCAATACACCACAGGGCGCACAATTTTTTTTTTCGGAGAATTCTTTCAGATAATTCCAAAAAAAATAAAAAATAAAATCACAATTTATTTTAGTATGAAAAGACGATTAGATAGATTTTAACCAATTTTTTACCCAAAAATATGATTAAATAATTTTTAAATCATTTTTTAACTAATGCCGATATCCCTTTAACATTAGTCATAACTACGGTGAGCATCGGTCCTGTATTATACGGGGCAGTCCTCTTTTTTGACCAATTGTCCTGGTTACATCTTATTATACGGAACGCCAAACTTTGTTTTTTTTTGTTTCTTTTTTTTATGGAAGTAGGCCGAATTTCCGAATTTGAGAAAAAACCAATAAAAATTAATTCTGCAAAATTTCACCAAACTTTCATGCTTTTTAATCAGAATCTTTAGAAAAAATTTGGTATGCAGTTTTGTAGCTCATTAAAATTTATTATAATAAAGGGCAAGTGGAATGTGTGCTGCTCATTTGCTTCTCTTTTAAAAATATTATCGAGTATACTTTGTACGAAAAAATGCGTAACACCGTCAAAAACATAGAAATCCAAAAATTAACGGTATTAACTTCAAACATGCACTTTATTGTATTAAAATTTAAGGAATTTTTTGTATCAAATTTTGTGGGGTAAAAATCTCGATAAAAATATCCTATAAGTTTGAGATGTTACTTTAAGGATGCTCTTTTAGCTCTAATACATTAAGGATCATTGAAGAAGGTTTTAAGATCTGTTACCTTGTGTGGAAAAAATAGCAAAATTATTTTTTGCTCCGTATTCGGCCCCCATAAATCCATACCATTCACGGTAGTCATAACACATGTTCTAATTATCCAAAAAAAAAACCTTCAACAAAGCATTTTTTTGGCTCGGGGAATACTTTCCAGCAGATAAATCCAAAAAATTAAAAAAATAAATTTTATGAAAAAAATTTTTTAATTTAGACTGCGTTTAAAGCATTTATAAAAATCACATTTTTAATTAAAAAAAAATTCAGTTAAACCCCATTTGAAAAAAATTACTGAGCTTTTCATATTTGCATAAAACTTAAACTACGCAACTGTATTAAGTTTCTTTAAATGTTTGAAAAATAAATAAATACCAATTTATCAAATTATTTTGTGAAGGAAAAGTTGAAAAAAATGAAAATGTAATTTTGACTCTCTATACCCCATAGAGATGAAAGGTGTCATCACTGACTGAGTATGGTAAGATTCACAGCAATAAAATCTACATTTTCTACTGCAACCAGGCGTCCATCAAATCGCTTATTTCTAAAGTAGATGTGAAATGGCGCTAATTTTTTAAGGAGATGGCTGTGAGATTGAAAAAGCTTATTACCTGTATTCCAAGCCATTCCGAAATTGAAGTTAATTGCAATAAAAATGAGCTCGCTTTCGTGGGGCCAACATCAATGATACCAAAAGTATTCTCACTGGTAACTGTAAACTTCTAATAAGTAAGAAATTATCTGCAATTACAGACAAACAGTGGCCGATCTTCAGCGGGTGGTCTTAAATAAATAAAATGTCAACAGAATTACCCTTAATACAAGCCATTCGATTTTGAATCTTTTACTTATAACGGGTGATTTTTTTGAGGTTAGGATTTTCATGCATTAGT